GAGGGTCAGTTGCTGTCTCGGGTGAGTGCAAAATCTCCTCACATCAGAATTTTAAGAAAGTGGAGTGTTTCTCTCCAGTGTCACAGCTGCCGCTACAAAAAAAATTATCCAGTCATTAAGATGTTGCACGCTGAGGGAATCTTGCTGTGCCTTTTAGCTGCTGTGTTTCCAGATTACAAAAGAAACAAGATATGTTTAAATAAAACAAAGAACCACGGGTTCAAATGCCTTTTTTTGGCTATGAACTACGTTGTGACGGCCTCACACTGAAATGTTCTGTAGAGATACTTGTTGCATTTTTTAAGATTGAGTCAGTAATCCAGTCTCATTTTTTGAGGCAGTTTGACTACTTGAAGCTTCCCTTCAGCCAATGGGAAATGAGGCTGTGCTTGTAACAAGTGGATCACTGACTGGGCTGTTTGTACCAGTGCATTGTTCAGCCCAGAGTGCCCTTAGTTCTGTTACAAAACATTACCTCACGATTTTCAGGGATTGCTGTCAATGATCAGCCCCTCCTGAGGGTACAGATTCCAGGCCTGACAATATCTCACCTCAGAGACTGTTTCCAGTGGTGAGGCCGGACAACCAGGGCCCGAAGGCTATCAGGTCACAGGTCTCCCTTCTTTGACCATCCTTAGGGGGTCTGATGGCGGTGGAGGAGGCTCTCATCAGGTTTCAGCCTATCTCAAGAGAACTCTCAGCCCCGCGGAGTAATGAGCCCCCAGAATGCCCTCTAGTGGAACTCCCATGTCAATGATGGTCTGTTGCCCAGCTCTAGCCTGTGCCTGCTACAACCAGGAGCTTTCCCAAATCCAAATGACTCAGTAAATTCACCCCCTACCACCCCACCGCACCTATCTGCCACATGCTTGGCCCATGTGGAGTAAACCAGCCTACCCTAAATTGAAGCACAAGGATCTCAGTGGTGCTGACAGATTGGAGATTACTGGGTGATAAACCGTCCTCTGGCTGGACTTGTCGTCCCCAGTCCATAACCCAAGAAAAGGATTGCTGCAGAAATCTCTTTATGGCATCTTTTATTCTGTCTACAATTTTCATCAAGACATTGGCAGCAGGGACATTGGGGCATTAAAAGCTTCACCAGGATCACACTGTGCTCTTCTGCAGCCTGGGCAGTATGAATGGGGAGTGGGTAATCGGGAATCTGCCTTCAGATAGGGAATGGTGACAATGCCAATGGTATGATGGTGGGGTTGAAATCAAAAGGTGGTGAAACAGGAAGTTGGACAGTCCAAAATAGGAACAGAAACATCTCAGCGAGAATGTGTGTGGCTAGATTGATATATCCAGCACTGCACGGGATTTCCACGGTTTAGCAAAGTTGTGAGCGTTTTGGAGAAAGGAGCATGGTTCTAGGATATAAAAGGAACCCTGAATATTTGTGTCTTGACACCAGGACAAGTTCCTGGGGATTCATGATCATTTAGGAAGACCATAAAAATGTGACAAAGACAAATTTCTACCCAGACTGCTCAGAGCAGTGGAACAGGCAGAAGAATATTGTCACACTGAAACAAAAACAGGAAAGTATTCTTTTTAAAATATCCCAAGGGGAGAGGTCAGTTTACTGAATATCTCCAATCAGATGCTGCTCAGTAAAAGGCAGGCAGCCAAAATAAACCAGAGTTTGTGAATTCAGCAGCCAGTTTTGGTTGTGTAGACTCATTTCCCCAGAGGCAATTAGAGGACAATCTAAAAATAATGCCAGTGCACGCTGTCTGTGAGAGAGCAGGTATGTCAACATTGGGAACGAAGGTCAGAGAATGGATGACAACCATTCACCCTGTGTTTAATTCCCATCTAACTCCTGCTGGCCCTGTATTCTCAGTCCTATTTCTGGCTTCCAGCTTTTGCAAGTTTAATTTTCCCTATCTCCAGGAGTAATGCAAAGTTGGATTGAATCGGGAGTTGGGAGAACATTTGGTGTGACTCCTGAATCAGTTTATATCAAACTGTTGATGTCATGCTGTGTGCTGTCTAAAGTAGGGAGCAGATGCTTATGTGCTCTACTGAGTCTAACTAGGGGTGATTCTTCTCAGAGATGGTAGTCACAGGCTTCAGGGTTACCCTGCAAGTACAGCTCGTAGAATTCTCTGTAGATATCAGTGCTATAGCCAGTGGCCTTGGTTGCAGGATCTTGCTGCATGAGTTGCATCCAGTGCTTGAGTGTTGGCATCTGTTCCAGGAGCCTGCAGAAACAGGAAGAGAGATTCAGTGAGAGACAAGAACTGTTAACCCGCACCTGAATAGAGCCCCTGTCCCTTTTTTATATACCCCAGACTGTTCCCTCAGCAGGAGCAAGACCTACCCTCAGAACCACAACTAATCAGAGAGCTGGAGCTAAACATAGAACATACAAGAGTTAGAGGCCATTCAGCCCAACCAGACCATGATAGCATTTACTCCCCATATGAATAAATAGTTCAGTTCACATCTCCTTGCTGCCATAATCATTTATGCCAATTTGTTTTGATTGATCTAATCTGCAATGTTTGCAAAATTTCTGCCTCATCTTCTAACTCGGAGTATATCTCACAACCTTCTAATTGTCTCTCTCTGAAGGTGCTTCTCTCGCCTTCTGGACCAAATTGCCTACATTTAGTTTTATGTTTTTGGTTGCTCATCTTAGACCTCTCAGTCCAGACCCTTTGTCCCTGCAACTCCAACCCCAATAGCAGCTATTACTAATTTCTCACTAATTGCAACAACACCATCTCGACTTTACAAGAAAGGGCACAGTCGCTGGTGATGAAGCCGTTTAGAGTGCAAACACAGAGAGGTTAGCATTCAGCAAGCAAGGAGTGTTTCATTGGCTTGGGTGAAGCTAGCTGGTGATGGACAAAATTGGCAATACCAGCAGTGGGCAGGAATTCGCCATCTGATTGATATGGTTTCAGAAACTCCAAAGCAGAGGGCAGCCCTGCCAACAAGGCGCCAGAGAGATCATCGCACATCAATATCAACAGACAACTTCATGTGTGGCATTTGACTTTGCCTTTTTAGAATCACTTGTCCCACCATCAAAAGAAATGCAGCAGCTGATTTCTTTGGACCCCCAGTTACCATTCCCCTCTGGCAGATGGAAGGATGTGAACCAGTTACAGCAGTCGATATTAATTGATCACTGTTTCTAGCAGGTATTGGTTCTGAAATAACTCCACGAAGGCCGGTATCCCATCACCAAGTTACCCTTTATTTACATGGCCATAGTACATGACTCACTCCCAGTTGGCACAGAGTCAGCTCCTAGAGCGAGCAGCACTCCAGACACTCCTGTTTATATCTCTCAGCCAGGGATCCCTGATTGGACCAGGTTAACAGCCCCAATCAGGGAACTCATATTCTACAAGGTCCACCTGGCTGACCTCATTCCTATCACAACAGGTTCCTCTTCACTACCTGTAAATGAAATGAATTACAGTACCTGCCGTAGGTGCCTTTAAGCAAAGGCTGGGAATCAAATCATGTTAAAGACAGAGTGATAGTACCCAAAATGGATGTGACAGTCAGTCATTGTGTCCTATTCCCAAAACACACTGGGGAAGTGGGCTCTACCAGGGCTGTACATTCCTGTTATTGAAGCCCCTTTATAATCAAAGGGCATTTAAAGCATTGAATTTATGAGTGGTGACATTATTTATTCTCTGTTAGACTCAGCCAGATCTCAGTTGGCCTTGCAAATGAAGCAAATGAGTTAGATAAAAGCTTGTTAAATTTGTGCAGTAACAATATGCATAGTCATGCCTCATTCACTGGACTCTGCTGTTGGGATTCTGTAGGTCCAATATTTTGGTTCGAGTTATTTTTTACTGTTCTTGCCTTATTGAGGAATTCTTTGAAATTAGAATACTGAGACCTGTAGCTTCCAGCGCGAGAGATTGGCAATAGCTGGGGTGGGACCGACTGAGCATCTTGGTGCCACTGAGATTGGAAGTGTCAGCAAACCTTGAAATTCATTTTTGGCTCAATCTTCAAGGGAGAGGCTTCCTTCATCCCCTTCCTGCTTCTATGCTTCCGTCTGTTGTTGACCTCCTCTCTCATCCTCTATCCTTCTTGCACCAAATACAGCATGGGGTTAGATACAGAGTGAAGCTCCATCTACATTCCCTCTGAACAATGCTCCATGACAGCACCAGCATTGATATCTAAAAGGAAGGCTGTGAAGTTAGTGTCAAAAATTGGGTCAGCTTCATACTCTGTGTCCAAACCCACTTAAAACCCGTTTGTGACTTTCCAAACACATTTCACTGTAGTGCAAACTTCAGCAGCAGGTGGCAATGCTGAAGAAGATCACAAAGCGTAGCAGCAGCAGACGCTGTTTGTAGGAAAGGATGTCTTTGTCAGAAGGAGGACTCATGAAGAGAGGATGAGTCAGTCAAAACTGGGAATGGTGGCTCAGTGGCTAGCACTGCTGCCTCACAGCGCCAGGGACTGGGTTTAATCCCAGCTATGGGTGTCTGTCTGTGTGGAGTTTGAATGTTCTCCCCGTGTCTGTGTGGATTTCCTCTGGGTGCTCCGGTTTCCTCCTACAGTTCAAAGCTGTGCAGGTTATATGGATTGGCCATACTAAATTGCTCATAGTGTCCAGGGATGTGTAGGTTAGGTGGATTAACAACAGGAAATGCAAGGTTACAGGGTTAGGGTAGGCGGGGTGAGACTGGGTCAGATGGTCTTTGGAGAGTCGGCGTGATTTGTTGGGCCAAATGGCCAGTCTCCACACTGTAGGCATTCTATGAAAAAATGTCCTCAACCAGTTGCAAACTACAGGCTTAATTCCACGAAAATACTCTGTTTTTCTAGCTTAACATTAATTTCCTCTCATATTTATAAAGTCCTAATGCCAGTGAACGAAAGAAAGATCTTTGTGCCTAAATTTCACACTACATCATTCAAAGGACCTGTGAGAAGAGGAAGGTTAATTCTATCAGTTTGGGTTGAATTTGACCCACATTGCAGCAGTGGAAGATCAGTATCTGAGCTGCGCTGTTAGCCACTCACACGCCATTTTAATCTTCCAAACTCACTTGTTGAATTCAAGGGCTTCCATGCGCTCAAACCAGGGCCAAATCCAGTAGTCAATCATTGTCACAGAGTCACCACCAAAGAAACGAGTCTTCGAATCAGCCAATTTCTGCAAAAAACAGCAGTCAGGACAGTGTAGGTAAAAGTGCATCTCCAGAACTACACAGATGTGGAAAATCGAAATGGGATGTGACCAGTGAATTTTTAATCACTGCATTTTTTAATTTATCCATAAGATGTGAGCTAGTATTTATTGGTCGTCCCTAATTTTCCTTAAACTGAGTGGACTAAGGGTCAACCACATTGGTGTAGGTCTGCAAGTTTCCTTCCCTAATGAACATTAATGAACCAGATGGATCGTTACAGCAATTAACAGTTGTGACATAGACTAGCATTTTAATTCCAGATTTTTATTGAAATCAAACTTTACCACCTGCCAAGGTAATGATTTGAACCGATGTCCTCAGCCCATTAGTCAGCTGTTCTAAATTACTAGTCCAGTGACATTGCCACACCACCACCCTTTATGCCAATATTTAATTGTCAATTAACATCAAAAAAGGATAATCCAGTCTTTATCACAATGCTGTTAGTGGGATCTTGCTATGCACATATTGATGCTGATTTGTATGCTGCTTAACCACTTCAAGAGGACTTCACTGGCTATGGGATGTCCTAAGGTTATAGAAGGGAGTATACAAACATAAGTCTGTTTTGACATCTCTATTTCTATTCAGTATGTCACACTTAAAGTGAAGTGTTTTGTGTTATCTTCAAGCTCAGCAGTTTGTTAGAAGAACCATCAAGCAAGGAACCTGTGGTTTGTTCCCTGTGGTCAGGGGAACATTAAAGATCCTAGGTTAATACTCAAAGACCCAGCGTTCTATGTCACATTCCAACACTACCATAATCCAGAGTATCTCCATTTCTGCTTCCTGGTTTCACCAATTCCCGCCTTACCTGGTCGAACTTGCTGAGTTGAACTTTAAGTTCCTCTTCCATTTTGGAAGTGTCCACGGATTTTCTCTTTTCCACTGGAATCCTGTACATGTAACCCATCACCTGGTCACAGAAAAGCCAGCAGTATAGAGAAATCACTTAGCATCCGGGTTCAGACACTGATACACAATCACTCACTAGCACTGCTAAAATACAAAGTTTCACAAATTGTGTGTGGCTGTGTTGACAGCATAAGCAGATTTTACACTCATCTACAAGTGTAAGATGTCAGCTGTGACTCAGTGAATTGCATCTCATTTTGAGACAGAAGCTCATGTGTTAGAGTCTCTTCCAGAGATTTGAGCACAAAGCCCAGGCTGAAAGATTGGTGCAATTCTGAAGGAATGCTGGAAGAACCTGTGGCACTTTGTTGAAGAGGGCATTTTCCCCTGACAATTTTTGTCCCTTAATCATTGCTGGAAACAAAAGCAGAAATTGCTGGAGAAACTCAGCAGAGCTGGCAGCATCTGTGGAGATAAGGCAGAGATAACATTTTGCGTCCAGTGACACTTCTACAGAACTGAATGGTTGCCTCTTGAGGTCACAAAAGAGTTTGGATAAATTCAAAATCTTCCTTCCATCCATCACTTTCAGGGAGAATGAGACAGGGATATCAGAGAAACATTGAGACATACAGCTGACAAATAGGAAAGGGACATTGAGTAGAGACGTATTATTGTGTAATGATGCAGAGTTAATTAGCAATCTAATAGCAAATTGTCTGCTGGGAACTAGGTTATGGTGAAAGAGGAGGAAATTCAGTCACTAGCAGAGTATAAAAGTGGAAACAAGTAGGTATTCAATAGGAGATAGTAGGAACTGCAGATGCTGGAGAATCCGAGACAACAAGGTGCAGGGCTGGATGAACACAGCAGGCCAAGCAGCATCATAGGAGCAGAGAGGCTGACGTTTCGGGCCTAGACCCTTCAT